CCCCCCCCCCCCCCCCCCCCCCCAACGACCCTGAAGAGGATAAGCTGTTACAGAAAATGAATGAATTAAAAATCATACCTTTCGGATTTCTAAAGACCCAGGTATACTGTAATACCTTAATACCACCCAAGCCTAGCGCAGAATTATTCTAACTGAATTTGCAGCTGCTGATAAAAACACAAATTTCCTCCACAAAGCAATCTCCAAGAAATAGCTTGCATCGCAACAAACGTGTATTTCTTGTAAAGTTTATTCAAAGCCAAGTAATTTCTCTGAAAGATAACCATGTGGATATAATTACATTGATGCACCCTTATCAAAAAATGATGAATAAAGTTATACGCAGCACATGCTGTACACACAGATGAAGTTTAGCTATGTACCATTTGACTTTAAAGGCTGACTATATATTTGTGAAGGGGCCCCAGACTTATTTACATATATGTCCTTATAGGTACGGCCATAACCACATCCTGTACTATTATGAAACAGCTGATCTAGGCCTCTCATCCCCCAGGCAGGCTTCAACCAAAAAACCTCTATAGGTGCAAGAAAGATGCATGCACTGAGAGCTGTTGAACCTTAAAACACTGTATGAATTGCATGGAAAACACTCATCAGATAACTTTGAAAACAGGCACTTTGAATCAAAAGCTTGTTTCACCCAACACCTACCTACACTTTTAAAAGCACCCAGTGAATGTCACAGTTTCCGTTCTTACCTCTGTGACAAAAAGACAGCTTCTGACAATTTTGGCAATTACAAAAAAAAAAAAAATACACAAGCAGTGAGGAGAGCAGTGGCGTTTCAGAAACCGTTAAATGACTTAACCCTGATCAACAACACCTGTGTGTGTGGATTATCAGACCTGATACCGAGGTCTTTGAGGTTACATTAAAAGAGGTTAATGTGGTTTCAAAGTAAAAACATCATATCCTCTGGTTTTGTAAACACGCATCACAGCGCCTATTGGCTGTGTAAAACCATGGCAGATTATTATATCTTCCTGTGTTATATGTCTTTGTACCTCTGGTTCTGCCGTACCTAATCATATGGTGTTTCCTGTTACGAGTTATTGTAAGTATGGAAACTGCTGCAGTTGCACAGTCAGGAGTTTTCTGCACTTTGTCTGAATTAGTGCACTGGAACATTTGCTGGTTTAAAAAATTGGTTGAAAAGTAGCTGCGACATTGTGGCGCAGATGCTCCTGGCATTTTTTGTAAACGTGCTCATGCTGCTTTTCTTGTAAGAGGGGTCTCAGTTTCCGTTTGTGTGCTACCACTCACCTCAAACACAGTTTCCATTTCTCGCTGGACCCCTTACAAGGTTTTTTAACTGCATACTCGCAACACTTTGTACCTTGACACTTACCCCACATGCAGGCGTAAACACACATTTCACACTTAACTGCTTCGGCAGATCTTTGCTGTTTGGTGGAGGAAAAAGAGTCACAGCTTGTGACCACACAGACACACCACTTGAGTAAACATTCTCACGTCTGCATGCTACCACGAGAAGGGATTTTTTTTTTCTCTGACATTTCGGTGTTGACTCATGCGGTGTCTCTCGGACCTGAGCTTGGATGCAACCTGACTTGCATTGTTTGAAGTGCTCCTTGAGTTACAGTGTTTAAAGATGCAGCATTTACTTTGGAGAACACATGCACTCAGCTCGACTAGGCACCGATTATAAATTACTGTTCTGTTTTTTAAAAGGTTGTTTTTTGTGTGTGTGTGTGTGTGTGTGTGTGTGTGTGTGTGTGGTTCAACATTTACTTTGACTTGTTGAGGAAAAAACATTAAAATATTTAATATCAAAAACAATTCACTGAGTTATTGTGTTATTAAGAGTGTGTCAGTTGAAAAAAAAAACACTTTTGAAATGCACTGACTTCCTGTGGGATGTTGGTGGCTAAAGCTGTGAAGATGTTCACCACAGACTAGGTGCATAATATTTATTTTAAAAAAGCCAAACAGATTCAATGCTGGGAGGCCCACTGACCATTTCCTTATTCACACTAGTCAATATATCATTTCGCACTGGGATTTGTTTTGTACTTTGAATGTAAAAAAGGTGCCAGGCTGTATAAAAAAAGCAGCAATACCAGGGGACAGATGGGTGTCACTCCTGATTTGTCAACTGTTGCTGCTTTGTCAGTGGATGATAGTGTCAGACACTGACGCACAAATGCACCATTCGTGGCAGTATACACACGGGCTGCCAGCAACTACCATAATATAAAGTGCGAGACAGTCCATATAGGGAGGGAAGGAGAGGTGGTGGATAGGTCAAACCAACTCCGCACTTTCACCCAGGAGCCCCAAGTGAATTTTAAACCAACCCTGCTGTACAGGAACCAGTGAAGGGAAGCAGGGAAACTTTGCTGATATTCAACCAGCTGTGTGTCATCTCAGTGTGCGCAGATGAACGTTGTTTGACTTCCTCCGGAGATCCCTGCCTGTCTGGCGGCGGAGGTCCGGGTGCTGGCAGCAGCACGGGGGCGAAGCCAAACACTGTTCATCTGCACACACTGCGATGCCACACAGCTGGTTCAATATCAGCAAAGTTTCCCTTTATATTCATTGTCTTGTGTGGCGATCAGCAGTGATGTGGTGGTTCACTTTTACACTGTGATCTGTAGCCTATAGTTTGGCTTTAGCTTCTAACTATCTTTGTCTTTTTAACCTGTTGTTGCTGCTGAGTCAGTTTGACATCCTGGATATATCCTTCAAACACAGACTGTAGACCCCTCTGTCTGCTTCTCTCTGGAGTCACTATTTCATTTCTCCAAAAATGATAATATTTCTTCAGGGAGTGCAGTTAGTTACACTGTGGGCTCCATGCTTACTGCGACAGCTCGTCGGACCATCAGAAAAGGGCGGGGCATTGCAAAAGGTCAATTGCCTCTGGCCACTTGTCATTTTGTAAAAGTGCCCCCAAGGCAAAGCAGTAGCTGTTTGCTATGACCTAATCTGTTTTACAGTAAGTCGCTGTAAGTGTAGGTTCACAGTACAAACCAGGGGTGTTACTGAATCGAGTCATCACCTGTTCACTTTTTTAGTAATCCACATTATCCCAGCGCTGCTATGCTGCTAATCAGTCATCGACATCTAAAGTTGTGGCTCACAGATAATGAGACTGAGAGTTCAAAGTTTGAAACAAAGGTCAGCCACTTTTATCTGGTGCACACTAGAGCTGCAACTATAAATCTATTAATGACTTCTGTGTCAACTATTAAATTAATCTCCAACTAATTTGATAATTAAGATATTTCTTTATCTTCAAGAAAAAAGTAACTGACTTCAGACATGGCTACTTTTCCCACAAATGTATTGTTTTATTTATGTAGACATGAAATTACAGTTATTATATAACAAAACATTGTAAATATCTTTTATGGGAGTCAAGTTAAACCTGCTGCTTCTACAAAATAATCATCACTTTGTACAGAAGAAATTAATGATATTAAAATATTTACATTAAAAATGTATGTCAGGTCATGTCAGAGGACAATCCAGTGCTGATGTCTGTCTGATGCAATGAAAGACAAGACAAACTATGACATTTGAGCCTCCCTACTACATTCAAACAGAGTTATATAAAGTATTTTAATACATTGTGCCAGTCTGTTCACTGGCATTGCGCGTGTTCCCGTGTTGTACCTTGGGACAATTCATGGACCGTAATGTCTTAACGTTCTTTCACCCAGACACACAAGGCTTGAAGAGATGTTCAAGAACATGCTGAAGTTGCAGAATTGCTTCTCATGCATCACTTGTGCCTCAGCGGTGCAGACACTGTAGAGTTTCAGGTTGCTTGCTTGCAGACTGACATCTTTAGCGTCTGATTGTTCCACGCATGTCCTCATAAACATCATTGTTGGGGACGTGCCGCGGTTTCTTTGTGGTGCACAAAGTCTTGGTCTGGTGATGACAGATATGGTTGTCAACATGTTAGATGTAGGGCTATTACACAATAAGTAGTAGGATCCTTTTTCAAATGTACTTTTTGTACTTCTCTTTGATGAAGCTTTTCTTTCTTAGATCATTGTGACATTTTAAAATGACACATTCAAAGTGTTTTGGTCAGGTGTGTTTTAAAACCTGACATGTACAATTAAAAGACAGAGATGGTTATTTCATCTATGAAGGGTGATCATTCTCCGCTCTCTCTATATATGTATTTAAATAAATTATTCAATTTTATCAACATATATGAACGCTATTAATTAAATTGTAAATTGAAGTATAGTTTAATTAAAATTATAATTAAAATAAATTAAATGAATTTAAATATTAATTTGTATTAAATTATTGAGATTATATATATATATATATATACATATTTACACACATATATACATATACACACATATACGTATACGCACGCACACACACAGACACACACACACATGTATGTATATGTGTGTGTATATATATGTATATAAATAAAACCTCAATTTATATCACCATTTGAATGATTTAACTTACATTGAGCATGAGCAGCAATGTTATACATACATATATATATATATATATATATTTAACAAGTAACAAGTAAAACACATTACAGACAACAACAGCACCACACACTTCAGTGAAAATGGCCACACAGTGGAATCAACACCTCACAGGGTAAATCAAAAGTATGAAAGTCACGCTGCCAATAAATCTCAGCTTTCAAATAATAATTTCCACAATTTATTTTTCTCTGTGTGTGTCAGACGAGTACTGTTGAGAATAACAGGAACATGGAAACAGCCCCCGAGATTCCATCAGGGTTTGTGAGTCATATAGTCAAATACAATCAAATAAAGAAACACACACAGACACATAGATACACACAGACACACACACACACACACACACACTGAAACACATGGATACCTTGATGAGCCATATGAGGAAGCATATGAAGATGCCCAGCAGCACAGCAGCACTGATCACAACAGACACCAGGAGCAGATAGTTGGTTGAGGAGTCACACGGCTTCACTGTATCTGGTATTGATGGACAGTGTGTTCAGCGCAGACTCAAGCTGGAAGGTTTTAAGTTTCTCTCGTATTTGCTCACCACTATACAGTAATGTTATCGCCTGTGACATCTGGACTTTTTTGGTGGATTTTTCATTTGCACATTGCTTCAATGATTTTACATTTTAGGTGAAATTCTCCCCATTTTCTGATATAATATTGTTTTAGTAAAATTACAAGTACTCCATTCAAGATTACTGGACTGAACACAAAATGGTGAATTACTTTCATGTCACATTTGTTAGTTACACCAGTAGCTTACTGTCAAAATGCATGTTTGTGCTGTGTATAATAATGAAGTTGAATTATGAATGTATATAAATCGATGAGGCTCACCTGTCACCACCAGGAGCATGGACCCTGTGCCTTTTGTGCTTATGGTTTGCCCGGAATTCACGTCAAACTTCTTGTACACACACCAGTATGGTCCTGTGTCCTCAGTGGTCAAGTTTTTGATGAGGATATCCATGTTGGGGAATTCTCCATTTGACTGAATTCTGCCCATGAAGTCTTTGTGAAAAGTCTTTTTTTGAGAGCTGCCATCTATGAACAAGATTCGATTGTCCTCACTGAGACCCTTCTGCACAGCCAGGAACTCCTGGCCTGCTTCAGAAGGTCTGCATTGGATGGTGACAGTTCCTCCAAAATCTATCCATACCACTCCACTGCCCCCTACACAGACACACAAAACCCTGCACAGTTATTCGACTTCATCTCACGTTACATTTCATGAAGCTTTAGGAACTCATTCTGCCTTACAGCTAATCACTACAAACCACATTTGTTGAATTCTTAGACGTTATACATGTAACAAGTCTTACCTGGGCCGCTCAGAACAGTGCAGGAGAGACACAGGATGGTTATGAGCTTCAGACAGACGGCAGACATGCTGAGAATGACAGTCACACAAAGGTTCACTCGAACTCTGTCCTCAGTAGGAAATGCAAAGGGTTTTTTCACCCACACAACCAAATGCAGCTACAGCAGCACGTGACCTACATCTACGCACCTGATGTGGGTTGGGAAAGCGACTGCAATCACACAACTTAAACACATTATGTTGTGGTATCCAAAACAGCAACTTTTCTCTGAGGTCATGCCACTCATGCAGGACGTTATTAGGCAAGACCAATCAGATACGATCCAGCTGTACCGTAAAAGGAAAGGCCCTTTTAAACTAGCTCTCACAAAAAGATCTTTAGACAGGGTGTGTGTTACATGACAATATACTGTATGTTGTAAAGAGGAGTATATTCCAAGTCACTGGTTCCCAACCTTGGGTCCCGACCCTCATTGGAGGTCGCCAAAGGTTCACGAGGAGTCAAGAGGACTTTCTACTAATCACGAGACCAAGATACAGCTAGAGTAGGAACACACAGGCAAAAGGAGGGAAATGGGGATTGGCTAACAACAAGGATGTGGAGGGGAACACTAGGGTGGAGCAGACAAGACTAATACAGAACAGGTGTGAAGGGAAGACTCTGGGAACAAGGAAGGACTAACAAGACAGGTGTGACAGAAAACAGGCAGGAGAACACACAAAGACAGGAAGTGAAACCAGACACGACACATGAGGAGAGAATCTATGAAATAAAACAGGAAGCAGATTAAACATGAATGAACAACATGAAACAAGGAACACAAACATCCATCCATTGTTAAAACCACTTCTCCTCTTGAGGGTCGCGGGGGGCTGGAGCCTATCCCAGCTGACAATGGCCAAGTATAAATCCCACAATGCATCAATGCTTCAATGCTGGTGAAGTCTGCCCACTATAGTTCAGTGAGTCTGCCATCATCGGGATTTCGACTGAGATGCCGCCGAAGAAAGTTCAATGTAAGAAAAATGTTTTATAAATTTAACTTTATATCATAGTCCCGTTCATATCATAGCGTCATGATGGTACATGTTAGTAAGCTTTGTTAATGTGTCTGTGGTGAGGAAATTCACATCAAGCTCTGCCCTGGAATTATTTACTAACCACAGAATTTATCTGAAATAGGAACCATGGAACAAACGTTCCAATTCGGAAAACGATTACCTGTTTACCGGGGCTAAAAATACTGCAGCTGATGGATACAGGTGAGTAGTTTGATTGATGTCTTTATTTCCAACATGACAAATATTATAAAACAGTAGTTAACTTATTTAATCCTTCCGCTTTTATTCACTAATTAATAACCTTTAACTTTCCTTTAGATATCCAACATAGTGTTATATATGCCAGCATATTAACTGACTTTCTTAAATGCATGTAATAGAAGTATCATGAATTGTTCATGTACCAACATGAAAATATATTCATATATTCATATACATACATACATCAGCTCAACATAAACAGCTGCAAATCCCTGCTGATTATCCTCACCTTTTTTCATCCCTACATGAAAATTATTTCTTTACACCCTTTTCTAAACTGAATCATGTTTGGATAATGTTTTTGTTCACGGAGAATAACATCCAATGCGCAATGTAAGGGCCGTTGTCAAGTCTGTCCCAATTTCGTTTAAATATCCCCGCGTACTTGGCCACTTAATACATGCTTGAACACTATAGGCAAATGTACGTTCTGCGTGGCAAAATGTCTCCAAAGTGTGTGCGTAACCAAGCGCACTCAGCCAAGTGTGGAAAAATGGGACAGCGCCACTATTTCCACACTTCAGCACAACATTTTTTCTGTATCCATGTTCGTATACTTCTGATATTGCTGCTCAGTTGTCAATCCTAAGTAATTATTCACTCTGTATAAAACTGCCTTTTTGTATTGTATTATAAAAATGTTCAATAATAATAATAATTAAAAAAAAAAAAAAAACATTTTTCCTGGTTACACTTCCTGGTTGGCGGTCACATGACTCTTAAGTAACCAATAAGGAGTAAAAGGAATGAATTAGACGGAGGTAAATGAATATGAGAACTACTGAGGCAGATGCAGCAAATTATTTAACCGTGTTTAACTATGCTGCTGCAAACATTTTAACATGTAAATATTTGAATAATAATTGTAAACATAAATGTGCACATACTTGACTGTAGAAACACTGTAAATGCATTTTTACAGTTTACTGATACACATAAATTAACTTAGCTTGTAAACCTTACATTAGTGTTAACTGGCCATTAACTAATATTTAGTTCCTTATTTATTTGTCATTAGTTCACCCAGTAACTACACATTTTTCTGTGTACCTTATTGTAAAAGGTCACCAAAAAAACTTAAAACAGACAGAGAATCATACAAGAAGTTACTAAAATATCAGAAAACCTCATCTCTAATATAAAATCCATGCAAATGATCTGTTCAAAATTCATCCAGATTGCTAATTTTACCTTTAACTTCCTGCTGTTACTGCCTTCACTATTAGGGTTACTTGTACGATTTATAGCTGTTGTGTTTTAGTTGTTGTGTTCTGTTATTGTTATGCGCTGAATATGATATGAAATATCCATAAAATAGTCACTTTACTCAATGATAGAAGAGGGGTCCTTTAAGAAAAAAGGTTGCGGACTACTGTTCTAAGTAGATACACGTATAAACAGATAGCAGACACTCTGCGCCCTAGGCAACCAACCCCCAGGGCAACAAACAAACAACAAAACAAACAAACAAACAAACAAACAAACAAACAGAAAACACTTTGCCATCTGTGTTTCTTTAGCCAAGTATGCCCTGATCAGTGCAAAACATTTTTGGCAGAGACACACAGTGAATAAACCTAGATGCAAAGGTGATTGCGTTTGTGCGGCAGTTCATGGCAGATAACAACTGCACTGAAAATAGAAATATTGCTGATGTGGTCTATTGAACTTATATTTATGTTTTTATTGAACTTGCAGTAGTATGATTATTTTAGGAATTATGCATATGCTGATATTTTCTAAATTTGAACATTTAAAAATCTCACATACTGTACCTCCCGCAATACTCTAAAGTACCCCATTTGAGAACCAGTTTACAACATGGCCAGATAGAAACATAAAACAATATGTAGTTATATGAAATGAATTTAAAGGGTCTGTATAAACTCATCATTCCATTACCACAAGACACATTTTGATTTTTAGGCATTAAACAAGTAATCAGTCTTACCTTGGTCACTCGGGGCTGTGCAGAGGAGACAAAGGATGTTTATGAGGTTTAACCAGACAGCAGCATGCTGAAAGTGACTCTGATAAAGGTTTCACATCAAGTTATAGACCATAAAACAGAAGTGTAAGAAAATGTTTGTGGTTGGCCTCACATCTGTTGACTGTCAACAACAATATGTAAAACTTGTGGGTGAGAGACACAGACAGCTAAACTGGTAAATCCAGACAGACAGCTTATACACAGTACATTGCAATGTGAGACTGGCAGCTGTAATCTGAAATAGTAACTACAATAACTTTATGAACACATAGCATGAAATATATTATCACCTTTTCAAAAAAAAACAAGCCACATAACTCTTACTGAGAGGGAAGCTGAACACTAGACTGCTCTTCATCTGACACAAGTAAACACATTAGCAGCTGATGTGTTTTTGAGGTTGCTCTACAGGGATAGGATGTCGATGCATATTCCTCACTGAAAGTAGGTCAAAAGTTTAATGTCAGCAGAGGGTGGGAGGCCTCTGTGTTACAGGATTATTATTGCCCTCTAGTGGCAGGAGAACAAACATGTCTGAGTGTTAACCATTTAGAGGACATATACAGAACAGGTTATATACAAGAAACCCCATATTTAGCAGTTATAAGCTCTATATAAGCATTTAATAAATAGTTATTAACATATTATAATGTAGTTTCAGTGTTTATTTATGCGTCTGTCTACAGCTAGAACTCCTCGTCCCCAATAAGTGGCATGTAAACACATACTGAATGACAATATAATCAAGCAAGTATGGAGAGGTTATCATTGGTGACAAATACTGTGTATTTTAAACACCTAAAATGGCCTCTTATCTGCTTAAAACACATTACAGTGTGTTATAAATTATGGAGGGTCCCAGGAGGATATGTAAATATAAATATAACAGGATATATGAATATAATCACATCTAGACAACAACAAAGAAAACATCAGCGAATGCTAAGCTTTCAGATCTAGGCCTATGGGGGGATAAACCAAACCTCTGTCTCACTACATCTCCAGGTTTGACATAAAACAATACTCACACTACACATGACGACACATTTAAAGGAAAAACAAACAAACAAAACCAGGGATTGAATGACTGAGCTGAACCTTTACAAGCAAGAAGCACGATCTTGCTGCTAAAATCTACACACGAGTCCCTTTGTAAACCAAACCCTGAGATCAAATTAGGCAAAGTGTGTGGCACACAGTGTAACTGTGACTGTAAAATTCAGTCAGATTTATGATCGGTCCATATCTCAGTTACTCACGTGAAGTATTAAGTGACAAAGACCAAAATAGGCACAGCATTTCTTTGCATGAATATCTATAGGGCTAGAATACAAAAGAAGGGTCTGTGACCTTGCTAACGACCTTTTTAAATTTCTTTCCCTCTCACAAAGGACTAAGAAGCATTATTGGTAGAAATATAATATAATATTCATAACTATGTTTCACCTAAAAGTAAGAACTGATGTGTTTATGATAACCTACAATGAGCCTTTTATACCTACATTCAAAGCAGGTCCTTTTCCCTAGAGTCGGCCATGTTGTTCTACAGTAGCCCAGAACGTACAAACCAAACACTAGCTCCAGATAGGGCCATCGCGTTTTCGCGTCGGCCACTGTAGTTCTCCAACACACTTGGCACACCCGCCCAGTGGGTATCATACTGCTGCAAAGGATGCCTCTATGCGTCGGTTACTGACACTGAGATCCAGTGACAAATGGCAGTATTTGACGAGTTGGGAGTGAGCAAGGGGCAGGGCACATGGGAGCATGCCAGGGAGAAGTTTGAGTTCTGCAACCTCACCACTAGATGCCACTAAAACCTGCACACTGCATCTTCAAGATCAGAACATCCAGGTTCCAAAACACTAAATATCCACGAGACAATAGGCCACTGACCCAACACCTCCCCTACACTGGAGCAAGACACACTGACTTTGTGGTAGTTATGCCTCTTCTTGTTGTTTTTCTGTGTCTATCTTTAGTCGTTATGCATCTTTTTGTGGTTTTGTGTTTGTCTAAGGTATTTTTGTGTTTCTTTGTGATTGTTTTGCCTGTTTTTGTAGTTATTTTGTGTCTCTTTGTGGTCTTTTTGTGTCTCTTTGTGGTAATTTTGAGTGTCTTCCTGGCCGGTAATTTGAGACACGACATTTTGCAAATGAAGGCCATGTGGGCCCCTGACACTTTTCCTGGTACACCCTTTCACTAATCCATCATTATCCTGAAGCTGTCCACCTCCTTATCATTACAAACATAGTATGACAG